GGCTCCGTCTCGCCCGTCCCCTAGGCCACGAGCTCCATCTTGCCCGACCCCTTGGGAGCGGGCTCCATCTCGCCCGACCCCAAGGACACGGTTTCCGTCTTGCCTGACCGCGAGGCCGTGGGGGTCTCGCCCAAGGCCGTGGGCTCCGTCTCACCTGACCCCTTGGGTTTGTGCTCCATCTTGCCCGACCCCAAGGCCACGGGCTCCATCTCGCTCAACCCCAAGGCTACGGGCTCCATCTCGCCTGACCCATTAGGAGCGGTCTTTGTCTCACCCAACCCCAAGGACGTGGTTTCTGTCTCGCCCGACGGGGACCCATATCGCCGCCAACCACTCCGGGTCCAAGCGTATGGGCCTGGGTCAAAACTCTGACACCAAGGAAGAGATTGGCATGCCTAGATGTAACCTCGTGGCCATGATAGGCCATACCTAAGGATTCACGTCAAGAATAGTGTTGGGCGTGCCGGTGCTGTTCTACCTAACCCTCATACGAACGCTGACAGACACGTTAGTTCACCACGACGTCCGCTGGGACAAAATGGAACGCCATGACCGGCGGATGACGCCACGCATGGCGCCAGTGACAAATAGGGCCACAACATGGAGCCATCCCTGTTGACATCTGCAGGATCGGTGGGACCTGCATGAAGCAGAAGGACCCAGTGATCCTAGAAGCCTTCTTCTCTCTCTCTCTCTTCTTCTCCTTTTCCTCCACTATAACCCATGCTTTTCCTTCACTTATAAATGGGAAAGCAGGGCGCCCCAGAAGAGGGGGACCGAACCATGAGATAAAAACACAAGAGCACGACATGAACACACGGCGAGCAGCAATCGAGCTCTCAGCACCCGTTCACTCCTTCCATCAGAGACTTGGGATACTTTCCCTCTCTCGCTTGTTTGTAACCCCTACTACAAACCAAGTGCCGATAACATGAGCAGTAGCAAACTGGACATAGGGACATTCCGCCCAAACCAGTATAAACCCTTGTGTCCTCTGAGCACACCATCCAAGCCAGACGCGCAAATACAAATTTACTCGTCGGTGGTCCGAAAACACCGACAGTTGGCGCGCTAGGTAGGGGCTTTTTGCGTGTCTCGACGTCCGCATTGGGTCTGGGATAGCTAGTCACGGTGTTAGCTGGGTCCTGGGCACGCACGTGCGCTTCGAAGGAGAGTTGGTGCAAGTTCCCGCCACCATCCAACCTCTCCACTTCACCAGCATCGATGCGATCGCCGAGGCGCTTGAGGAGCTACAGTTGCACACACCAATTATGGGAGGCTAGAGCGGCAGCTCGGCGCCTTCCTAGGACCTCGACCGTCCTGGGAGGACCTAGGCTGCCTCACCTTCTCGTTCGTCAATGTCATGACACAGCTTGCCAAAGGAGAGCCGCTCTCCCTAGAATACCTCATCTAGAGCACCCCGACAGTTTTCCCGTTTGGTCTGCGCAACGCCGTAGAGACCGTTGGCCATCTTGTGGCGCAACACACGCCCCATCCCCTATGAACGATGAGTTTGTGGGGATGACCAAATATGTCATGGAATCTTTCCATGACCTTCTCACAGGAGAATCGAAGTCGCCCTCCAACTCTGACTCCAGCAGGGGGAGCCATCACCCCTCTCATGAATGTTTCATGGCAGGTGCCCCCAAGAGATACATCGAAAGCATCCACGAGAGAGAGGCTACCCCAATGAACGACCTCGATGATGAAGGCCTAGCACCAAGAGCTCGAGGAAGCACGACTTCAACTTGAGCAAGAACGCACGAAGCTCGAGCGAGAGATTGAGCGCCACTTAGACGGTGGGCCTACATGCGCCGTGGCCCGCGACGTGAATCGGAGGATCATCGAGGACGATGAAGCCCTCCCACACTTCACCTAGGTAAGCTAGAACATCGCTGCTATGGTGGCCTTGCTTCGGGGCTTTTGGGGCCCGCGACGCCCGAGGATCATCGGGCCCATCGTGAGATTCGCATGTACTCGAGCGTGTGGCAGTGCAGCAAGCCGAGAGCTCGCTGTCCTGACAACGCGAGCTCTGCGCTAGCCAGCGTGTGCCCTCAGAGTGACCCAACAGGGACATGTCAGTCCACCAGGCATAGCAAGGCGGTAGGCCACGCGCCATAGTCACGGTGCATGAACGTCTTGGCCTCCACCGTGACGAATGCGACACCCTCGACGCCCATAGGCGTATCCGTGGCGATGCAAGAGAGGAGGCTAGCCGCAACTACCACCCACATCATGGCGGACGCTACAACAGCGGCGAGGACCAAAGCCCGAGCCCCGACCTGCCGGGACCTTAGGCCTTCGGCCGACACATCCTCAACGTCGTCTTCCCACCGCGGTACCGACCACCGACCAACATCCTAAAATACTCTTGGAAAATGAATCCTGGACTATGGTTCAAGGATTATTGGCTTGCTTGCCAAGCCGGTGGAGAGGATAATGACGATTTTATTATCCGCAACCTTCCATTGTTTCTGGCTGATTCGGCGCGAACATGGTTGGAACACCTTCCTCCAAAAGAGATCTTCGTAGGAAACTTCCATGGCACATATATGTGTCCTAGGAACCCATGGGACGCCGGCGCCTATACGGCCTATCCTCCGTATGACACTACGGCAGCGGGATGCGACGTTTCACGGTAGGAAGAGCGTGGCGCGAATCTACGGCGGGTACAGCGGGCGGGTAAGAGCCGCTGTCGGTGAAAAAAAATCACGTGAGGCAGAAACGTGAACTTGCGTGTAAGATCTTACACGTAAGATCTTTCTGTGGGCCCACTCTCAGGTTAACACTAACCATTAGATCTGAAGAGATTAAGACATCAACGGTTTAGACATCAGGTGGGTATAAATTTTTTGGGTGAAAAATATTTTCAATTCCTTCGCTCCTTTACAGTATAGATAGATACATAGCTTTTACTATATATTAGGCATAATATATATCTAGATGCATAGAAAACTATGTATCTACGAAAGCCAAAATGACTTACAATTTGGAATGGAGGGAGTATATTCTAGATGCATAGAAAACTATGTGAAGGAGGATGAGATCCGACATCGATGGCAAGAGTATTTTGACAAATTGTTCAATGGTGAGAATACGGACACAACCTTTCAGTTGGATAACTCTTTTGATGACATCAATAGGCGCTTTGTGCGGAGAATCCAAGAATCTGAGGTCAGAGAGGCGTTGAAAAGGATGAAAGGAGATAAGACGATGGGACCGGATGGTGTCCCAATCGAGGTGTGGAGATGCCTCGGGGACATAGCTATAGTATGGCTAATCAAGCTGTTCAACCATATTTTTCGATCGAACAAGATGTCTGACGAGTGGAGGAGAAGTATATTGGTACCGATCTACAAGAATAAAGAGGATATTCAAAGTTGTACTAATTACCAATGAATTAAGTTGATGAGCCATACTATGAAGCTATGGGAGAGAGTTATCGAGCATCACTTGAGAGCAATAACGCGGGTCTCTATGAACCAATTTGGTTTCGTGCCCGGAAGATCAACCATGGAAGCTATTTTCTTAATAAGACAAGTTATGGAGCGGTATAGGGAGAAGAAGAAGAAGGACCTACACATGATTTTTATTGACTTGGAGAAGGCTTATGATAAAATACCAAGGAATATTATGTGGTGGGCTTTGGACAAACATAAAGTCCCAATGAAGTACGTCGGGCTCATTAAGGACATGTGCAACAATGTTGTGACTAGTGTTCGAACAAGTGATGGAGATATGGATGACTTTCCGATTAGGATAGGACTACATCAAGGGCTAGCTTTGAGCCCTTATCTATTTGCCTTAGTGATGGATGAGGTCATAAGGGACATACAAGGGGACATCCCTTGTTGTATGCTTTTCGCGGACGATATAGTGCTAGTTGATGAAAGCCGGACATGAGTGAATCAGAAACTAGAGTTATGACGGGAGACTTTAGAGTACAAAGGTTTTAGACTCCGTAGAACTAAAACTGAGTATATGAGATGTGACTTCGGCACTACTACTCGGGAGGAGAAAGATATTAATTTGAAAGATCAAGTAGTGCCTAGGAAGGATACCTTTCGATATTTAGGATCAATGCTACAGAGAGATGGGGATATTGATGAAGATGTTAGCCATAGAATCAAAGCAGGGTGGATGAAGTGACGTCAAGCATCTGGTGTCCTATGTGACAAAAGGGTACCACAGAAGTTAAAAGGCAAGTTTTATAGGACGACGATTAGACATGCTATGTCGTATAGTGCAAAATATTGGCCTACGAAAAGACGACATGTTCAACAGATAAGTATCGCGAAAATGCGTATGTTGCGTTGGATTTGCAGTCATACAAGAAGGGGTCGAGTTCGAAACAATGATATACGTGATAGATTAAGGGTAGCACCAATTGAAGAAAAGGTTGTCCAACACCGATTGAGATGGTTTGAACATATCCAACAGAGACCTCCAGAAACACTGGTGCGTAGTGGAATCCTAAGTCAGGATAGCAACGTGAAGAGAGACAGAGAAAGACCGAAGTTAACTTGGATAGAGGCAATAAAAGAAGACTTGAAATGATAAAATATACCCAAAGACTTAGCCTTAGATAAGAATGCTTGAAAAACAGCTATTCACATGCCTGAACCTTGATTGTTTCTGCTGGGTTTCAACTCTAGCCGACCCCAACTTGTTTAGGACTTGAAGGCTTTATCGTCGTCGTTGTTGAAGTATATTCTATCGAGCCATGGAGAGTAACGGAACAAAAGATTTTTCTACCATACTAACTTTTTCACACAGCACCACGTCTCCAAACTGAGTAAGGGATAACAAAATGTTCTAGTGACTAACAATTCATTAAGTAAAAAAAGAAAAATAAGAGGCAAGGCAGTCCTGCTTATGTGTGTAATATCAAGCATGAAGGAGCGCAAGTAATTACAAAATGGATCCGCATATGCAGATGAGTAACATAACACAAGCGGACGAAGGTAGCCCGATGGTCACCGCAGCAGCCTAATCATCAATCAAAAAGATGAAGATGAGTTTGAAATGTCTGAATCTCTGGCTGTCTCAGGCACTCCTTTGTTGGCACTGCCAGATGAACTGGTGACAACAGTCTCCTCAGGGTCAACATCAGGCCATGTCGTAACCTCAGCAAATGAGAACTGGCTGACAGCACCAAAGTATGATGCGACTCGCATCACACAGCTTTGGGAGAGCATGCTCTCAGCATCAACAGACTCAGGCAGAGGAGGCATGCAGGTCGGAAGGAACTCTTCCTTATGGTTTGTTGGTTTGAACAGGGAATGGGTTGCTCGGCAGAAGATGAACCTGCAGAAACAATCGAACTAAACTTTCAGCCAATAAAATAGTTGGACTGTATCAAATATATGTGTATCAGGGCCTCATCTATGGAGCAGACTGGAAGATACAATTAGTAGAATTTTGGAAGGCCAGTTCAACATATTGCATTCCTGCAGATGTGAACTAATTAATAACCTACTCCCTCCGTTCTAAATTGTACTCCCTCCATGTCCCTAAAGAAAGTCATTTTGGACATTGACACGGTCTCCAAAAAACGACTTTGACCACTACTTTTTGCTTTAAAATATTTATAGAATATAGTCAATATATACTTTTATAAAACTACATTTCAAGATGAATCTATTTACATCACTTTCATATTTTCAAACTCAACTCAAAAGAATTTATTTATAGTCAAAACTTAAAATATTTGACTTAAGACAACCTCAAAACGACTTTCTTTAAGAACATGGAGGGAGTAGTCGCTTTAGTTTTGTGCCAAGCCAAATTAACTTTCATCAAGTTTACAGAGAAGTACATTAACATCTACAATACCAAATAAGTGCACTATCAAGATATACTTCAGGTTGGATTTACTAAATTGATCTTGTAGATGTAGGTGTACTTTTCTATAAACTTAGCAAAAATTAGAGAACTTTGACTGAATGTCGCCCATCTGCCGCTGCATGGTCACCAAGGCGGCCAAGGAATCCGCAAGGTTCGGTGGTGTAGGGGGTGGTGGTAGGGAACCCGACGTGACATGGGCCGCGGACAGCGGTGGCGTGGTGGAAACGGACAGCGTGGTGGAAACGGACAGCGGTGGCGTGGTGGAAACGGTGGTGGCCGTCACCGCGGCAGCGGCAGCAGCACCGGAGGAAGCCATGGGCTCTGATACCAGATTGTTGTGGCTTAGGGACCAGAGAGCGTAGGGGTGCGAGACGGAGGGCCTGGGCTTGGAACCCCGGCGATGAACGGGAGCCGCCGAGCTGGCTGGAGACGCCTGGAGGGCAGTGACAATAGGAAGATCGTGAACAGTAACGCCCGAGGGCCCAAGGTGAGTTAAACTCAATCCCAGGCTAAATCTATTCCATCATAAGAGTCCCATACTTATACAAGTAGATCTTTAACAAACTTAACTCTAACTCAATCTAAATAACAAACTCAAGAGATAAGTATCCTAGATTTTAGGACTTGCTAACCAACTGGTCCAACTCCACCTATCTGGACCCAACCGGGCTGCTAGCCCTGGTGTCTGCGCCCATAGACCTTACCGGTCATAACAAGGACAAAACTAAAACGATCTACATTTTGGAACAGAGGGAGTAACAAGAAACCACTTACAAGCGAGCACAGTATAGTGATGTTCATAAAGCAAAGGCAGCCCAAAATCAATCATTCATAGTTCCAGACAAAAAGGACTACTTTTGACATAGTAGAGATTCATGACAAGATTTGACAAGTTCACCTGAGAAGTAGCCTTCTTAGGAGTGGGTCGCCTAAAACTTCAACCCAAACAGGATGAAGTGAAGACGATGAAACTAAAGTCGTGGCCCATTCATTTAGGGACAATAACAATAACTCCTCAGCTTTGTTATATGCATCCTACAAAACTCATGTCAAGGCTTTAAATATACTCTAATGTCTGAAGAAATTCATTAAAAATATGGTTACCCTGTCGATATCTGTCCTGTTGTTGCCGATCAGAAGGCAGAAAGCTTGCAATGGAGCTGTGAGGAACATAGTAAATTGGCTACCACTGTGCCGAGTAGAATCACCACTGAATCCCACAGTGGAAGATCGAGAACTTGGTGAAAGTAGCATGGCAGCAGTCTCCCCCCTTTCAGTACCATGAATAGACTGCAGTTATAAAGGAATGTTATGTTTGACAGTAGATGCAAGATAGTCAAGACTATAGGAAAATAAAACAAATAGTCCAGATATCTCAATACGCAGAAAGAAATTGAATGAACAGTAAATAAAGGTAAGAACAAAATTACACAAAGCACAAGGTACCACTGCAAAATAAGGGCACAGAAGAAACTGTCCTGTCAAGATGGACATACGAACCACAGGTCACATTTGAACTAAGCTTTTAAGATAGACGAACAGATTCAAAAACTTCAAAACTGAACAAAATACAAAAAAAAATTTGCCACATAATATGGCTTATTTGCATATGACAAGTGTACTTGTGCTTTGCCTAAAAACTACACAATTCAGTACAAAGCATTAGACAGTGAATACCAGCGACCAGCCCTTTAGTCCCAAGCAAAGTTGAGGTAGGCCAGAAAAGAAAAGGAAAAGATCACCAACCCTCGTTGTCCAGATAGTGGTTGCTCAGAGGGAAAAAAGATCAAACCTGCCTTGAAAGCATAGCTGGTGCTACTGTCAATCACCAAAAATAAGGGTCGTCTTGTAAATGGGATTAGATCACCAGGGTATATGCAATTTGAACCTAGATATTTCAGATATAGCAGAAACAATATTCTTATTGAAAAGGAGATCAAAAGGCAACTTATAATAAAAATGAAAAGACAATACCTTCAGTTTCACGGCAGCCTAACCATAGACAAGGTTCTTTGTTTTCCTTTGAACTAGCATGACTAGTACTGGATATGTCAAACTTATTAAAGTTGCTCAAAACTTTTTCACCAGTATCAGGACAAAATCCAGAAGTTCCAATCTCCCCTGAAAGATTTTTTAATATTAACTGAAATGTCCTTGACACACACAAAAATGTGACAACATTGAAGCAAACAACCCTGGGGCACTAACCTGTAGCTGAAAGATATATTAACATGATACCATTTGAAGGAAGCTCCTCACATTTTGTTGCGAGGACCTGGATTTAAACAAACACATTTTAGAAAAAAAAATTATATGATTAAATGGACAAATAATAACAGCTGCATATAACTATTTTCTCTTGAAATTTTGAAACCATGGGTAGAGTTGAATTAGTATTGCTAAGCAAAATCGCAAACACAGACCAACTTAAGTTCGATGTTCAGGCTTCTGTGTTATCACACTTTCTAAGAAAATTTGCAGCCACTCATGCCATGAACTAATGGGTGCACAAATGGTGGACCAGAAAAGTGGAGTTACGCAGTGTCCCTTAACATCATGCTTCCTTGTCAGATAATTCAGATCACTAAGTTCGTACGATAAAATGCAGATCCCTGCAGTTTTAACCCTCCAACTAACCAATTGCATATTTACAAGCAACACAGATTAACTGTTACACAGGTTACACTAGATTGACGCACAAACACATACTGTGATAGTATTCTCAGGACTAACAAATTGCATATACCACAGAGCTTCCAAATATGGTAGTGATCATAGTAGTTTTCTTTTACTCAGATGCAAGATACGTGCACTAGTGGATACAGATTAATTCTAGAAAAATAGGAGAAAGGCAATGCCAAATGAGAAACAAAAACTGAAAGATGAACTTACCGTTAGGAAATGTGTCACTGAAGGGCGATAGAGAATTGTCTTAAGTGGATTCGGAGGCAGTGCAGCATCTCTTAAATCTTTCAATAGATTGGGTTGATTTTGTCCACTTTCATCATGGCTGCTGTAACCATTGTTTAGCGCAAATGAACCACATGGTTCCCATTCGAGGCACTGAACCATTCTGAATACATCTATGGAGAGGTCTGTAAATTTGACCTGGATGAACCACAGTGAAATTATTTCCTCGGTACTAACTCCACCCACCCACCCACCCAGCACAAGCATAAGTTGATGTATGCAAGGCAGATGTGGAAGCATTACCTCGTTAGGATAGTAGCTGCAAAGTATGGTGTCACTTAAGACGAGACCTCGCTTCTTGACAGTAGGTGGTACAGTACGAAGTGTATCTGGGGGCGGATCGAATGCGTAGCTGTACCTGAGCGGCCTCATGTTCATAAACGGTGAGTCAGCTCGCAGGAACCTCGCGATCTCTTGCACGACATGCTTCCACTCCTTGTATTCAGCATCCTGCACAGCGCAGCATGAGATACGAGAGTGAAGATTGAATTAATATGACGATCAGGTCAACTGGATCAATCGAATTTGAGTGTGGAAACTGGAATTGCAGTGGGACGCACCTGGAAGGACTTTTTGGAGTCATCGAGGAGCGTGCGTATGTCCGAGGCGAGGCGCGGGACGGTGTGGGAGCGCCTGGCGAGCAGGAGCGCGACGAGGAGGAACCTGGCGAGGAAGCGGAGGTGCTTAGCGGGGGAGAGGTGGTGGTCGGCGTCCTGGAAGTAGGCGCGGTCGAGGACGGCGTGGTAGAAGACGAACGCCTCGGAGAGGAGCGCGGTGTCGGCGGTGCGCTGGTACTGGGCGTAGTAGAGGTGGGCGATGCGGGCGGCGATCTCGCCGACCTGCCAGCGGCGGAGGCCCGCGTCGAGGAGGCGGTGCCGGTGCTCCTGCTGCATCCGCCAGAGCTGGGTGTAGGCGCGGAAGGCCTTGGCGAACGCGTCGGGCTCCTGGCGGCCGAGAGGGGGCAGGTCCCGCACCCGGGCGAAGCGGCGGTCCGCCTTGTCCAGCAGCGACCAGAACTGCTCGGGAGTCCACCCGCCACCGCCGCCGACGCCGGGGCCGCCCTGGCCTTGCTGCTGCGGCGACGCCGCCATGGCGATCCCCTTCCTTCCTTCCTTCCCCTTCCCCTTGTTTCGCCGTCGTCTCGGGGAAGTCGTCGTGACTTGGGATTTCCCTGTCTAGTCCACCAGTCACGGGTGCCTAAGTCCATCCGGGCCCAGCCCAAAGATAGAGAAATGAGATGTGATGGGCTGCATTGGCCCAAACAAAACAATGTACGAGGAAAGCACAGGCTGAGAATTTTTTTATTTATTTTTAGAATGGCTGAGATTTAAGGATTCAGCATGGCTTCTCGACACGTCCCTGTTTCCTTTCAGCAAGCCAAGCATATATCCAACTCCTGTTTTTTTTTTAAAAAAACATTCTATTTATCAAAAGAAACCAAAAGAAGAAGAAAAGAATACCAACTCCATTGCCAGGTTCAGGTTTGTTGCCCTGCACAGCATGATATGAAATGAAACAGGGGGCCAATACTCGACGATTTCCCAGTCTGCTGGTCCAGTCCATCGAAACTAGATGGAACAGATGAAATTCAAGAACTGTGTGCTGACCACCAAGGAAACAAATCTCAGTTTGTTGAAAATAGTGAGCATAAATTCTCCGAACCCATCTAACTAAAAGGACAGCAGAGTCTGCTAATAACAACACGGCTCTTACCGGAAATGCATCTTATGCAGTCCAAGAACTCTTACCAGCAACTCAGCTGTCAAAATATCGTTCTCATCTCTAAAGGTTGCACAGAACTCCTCCTTTCAGGTTTCTGAACATTTCCCTATGGAACATGGCCATCGTCACAAAAAAAGGGCTAATTAATTGCGTTCTTCTAACTGTCACCATATATTATTTAACTGACACCAAGATCACTGTGTTCTTCTAATAGCCGTTCCTATATTATTATAGTCAGCATCTCATTTGAGAATGCAAATGCAAGGATGTATTTTGCATTGAACAGCGGATGGGATTAGCACTTGTGAAAATTTTCTTGTCCAACAGCAAGTACATTTATTTATCCAAACTATAAAAGAATTCAGGATTTTACAACTGCGATGCTTAGATAAACTTGAATGGCGCTGTATGCAATGTACACTAAACAAGACAAAATGGCTCTGTATGCAAACCTTGAATGATTATTCGAAAAAATTGGATTCAGTCATGCTGAATACGATGACTTGCATAGCCTAAAAGCAGTGTCTGCAAATTTAAAGCATGAATACCGAAGCACTAGCCCAGGAAACGACAGGTGACAAATTCACTGAACTATGGTAGCAATCCGTGCGCACCACGTCAGTTGTCCGGGGCAGTGGCGAGGAACCTATGGACGGCGTCAATGAGCCCAGCAACGCCGGCAGCACGCTCACTCTTCGGGACGTACCCGCCGGCATGGTCCACGGTGTACTCCCCAATCTCGGCCGCCTCACCGCCGCAGCGCCGCCAGAGCGCCTCCGCGTAGCTCGGGTGCGCGAAGTACGCCTCCGCCTGCACCGCCTCGCCCGACCCGTCGGCCACGACGGTGATCGGGCGCCGCTCGTAGACACCGATGTGGGTGCCCTGCGACAAAATGGGAGGCTGAGATTGGGGGAAAACCAAACCAGTCGACATGGGACAACGAGTCTAATGAGGAGACAGCGCGCTTGCCTCGAAGGCGTCGAGCTCGGCGAGAGCATCGGGGGATGGGGCGTAGAGCTCGCCGGAGACGACGCGACCGGAGGAGGTGGAGGGAGTGGGGAGGAGGAAGGGGACCGAGTAGGGGCCGATGACGAGGGAGGCCGGGCCGGCCGTAGAGGCGGCTCCGACGAAGGGGGTGGCGGAGGCGACGAGGAGCGGGTGGTTAGGGAACCCGCGCTTCAGTGTGCCGTAGACGAACACCATCGTCGGCGTCGCCTCCGCCATCGTCGCTTCCGGCTTCCGGGATTAGAGCAGACCCAAACCTACCGCCACTATAAAATCCTCTGTGTGGCACAGGCAGTTATCTTAAAGCTTGTCACCGATTGGTTTAGATTGTAAGTTTTTTCACTCTTTCTTCGTCACATTAAATCTTTGATATATGTATGAAGTATTAAATATAGATAAAAAATAACTAATTACACAGTTTGATTGTAAATTACGAAACGAATCTTTTGAGCTTAGTTAGGCCATGATTGGACAATAATTGTTAAATACAAACGAAAGTGCTACAGTACCAAATACTGATTTCTAACCTCAATCTAAACAAGGCCCTATTGCGGTGTAATAAGTAGAATAAACGATCAGTACAAATAATAAGGAATTTATTTTTAAAATGTATCAAATGAACTCAGATAGAAAAATGGTCAAAATCAAAGTCATAGTACTCGAAAAGATCTACAACATTTTATTAGTTTATAATCACCAATGTTGTTCTAGGCCTCAGCCTTCGAACACCGAATGCTCCTCAAGCTCATGAACGGGAGAAAAGGGGTAGTGAAAGGATAATCAACGCAACAACAAACTCATTTCACTTCGAAGAATTAGGTTTTTCATTCCTCCTCCCCCTTACATCATGGATGCGACACTATTTATACTATGCCGTATCTTTTACATGGACGCGTTTGCCCCTCCAACTACTTCAACCCTAGAGAATATTCCTGTTCGCTGGGGGCCTTCTAGTCCTTATGCACACGGCCTCCTCCGGATGAAGCTGCCCTCTTGCGGTCTTGTGGTCCCCCCGTGCCGGCATTGGGCCACCCGCACCGGAGAATGGAGACCAGCGCTCTTTTGGTGACGAATCCTTCACCTCCCTTTCGCGCCTGCAAGCGAAAAGGAAACTGCTCGAATAGCGTAAGCAATCCATACTACAAAACTATAAACAGGTGACCTCCTTTCACACTAGACTTGGTTTTCGCCCTCCCAGGCGAAAAGCTGTCACGTCTTTGTCGATTTTGATGACACGTGACCCCATCCGACGAACATCTTGGTTTGCCCTTTCCCCAATAGAGAAGGGGGGTGCAAAGGGTAAGGCATCACCCAACAATAATTTTTCTATTAAAATTTATTAGAGTCTAGAATTCTGTTTTGAGATTAATGATTTTGAAATTAATATTTTTTATAGTTTCTCAAATAACATCGGATGGAGAAATGACCTAAACCAATGTAATACTTGTAAAGATCTAAAACTTCTTAGTACAAACTTTTTTCATTTAGGGTCTCAAATATATTAGTGAATACAAAAGGAATACATCACTTGTTTATATTTACACATAGGAGGTTCTTAAGTGACAAATAAAACATTCTGATTTTTTACACATGCGGTTCTCACCACTGCGTCCAGCACATCGCTATTGATGCATCGTTTCTGCCCGCCATGGCCATGTCGAGCCATCTCAGCATTCACGCATGGGACATGAGCCATTGATATGATCCATTTTACTGCATTATTTTGTTGGCAATGATAGTCATCCATACACCGTTACACAGTGGCGGAGCCGAGATACCTCGAGGGCTAATTAATAGAGATTTAGAACAAATGCCGAAAATTAATGGTGAAATTATGTTTTTTCTACAGTAAATACAAATTGAAATCACTCGGAGACGGGGAGGCCGCAGCCCCGCCCCTGCCGTTGAAGCGACCCTGGGGGCCACCTGAGGGTTTGGTAACATTGCCGTAAGAATCTGCAACAAGGATCAGGAAGTCCACCGCGTCCTTGCGCAGGCTCCGCGAGATTAGATAGTACGCCGACCACCAGCAGCTTCAGCTGCGGACCGCCAGCGAGAGAAGCGCCGACTTTTGTCGTCTGTAGATTTGATCGTGAACGCCATTGCCGCGCCTGGTGCTGGCCTGGTCTGTTTGATGTGGAGAACTGCAGAGCTTCTTTGCTTGTGTTGTACGTGGCCGCGGCCAAGATACTTATACTGTGCACTGTCTCTGTCCGGTTGCCAAAGTTGCCGTGGAAGGAGAAGAAAGATGATGCTCCGTATGGACTCTGGAGGTGATCGGAGACGAAGGGAGGCGGCTTGGTATATCTGCCGTTGAAGCATGCTGCTTTCACCTGAGGGTTTGGTAACGTTGCCGTAAGAATCTGGAACAAGGCGTCCTTTACCGTCTTTCGACACATCTTATAAATCATTTGGATGCTAATAAACCAGTGATTTTTCTTTCACAACAAATCAGTCAGCTAGATCGCCTTTCTGAAGTCGACTGCTGTGCATCTGGCTCACTGGCAGATGGACCGGGAGGAACTGGCTCAGCAACAGAGCAAAGAGAGAAGAGATCTGACTATTTGTCAGCTGGATTTGATTACCCGCATGAACAAATAGTGTGCCAATTTATCATTTGACACATCTAGATCTCATCTGGATGCTAAAAGCACCAGTGAACGAGCAACATGTGAGTCAGCTAGGTCATCGCCTCTCTGAAGTCGACTGCTGTGCAGCTGGCTCACTGGCAGATGGACCGCGGAGGAACTGGCTCAGCAACTCTCAATACACTGGTAGTAAGCACTAAAGAGGGCCCGATCAAATTCATCAACATCCATATACAAAAAAAACTAACAGGCAGCTGAAGATCAGGCATCGGAATAATTATTATTATCATGGGGTGCCATTAATTAGGACTGTTTGCGTTGAGTTTCCGGAATTTAGTGCGATAGCCATTCGCATGCATGCAGAGGAGTAATTTATTGTTGTACACATAGATTTTCTTTTCTTGCCGAAGAAAGGCGGCCCTCCGGTGGCGCGTTGAATGCGTGTGAAGCTCTGGAGAGACCCTACCACGTCGCGGCGGTCTCCTTCTACCCCTTCCCCCTCCCGCCACCACCATGGCCATCCTCACCTATGCCCCGACCTAGCCCGGCCGCCTCCTCCGCAGCCAAAACCCTAAGCCGCCCTCCCGCCATTCCCACCGCTTAGCCAGTCTGCCTCCCTCAGGCCCCTTCTTTTTCTAAGGTCGCCAGAGTTGGGGAGAAGGAAGACGCGCGCAGGGAGGAGGAAATCACGCCGGAGAGAAGGAAGACGAGCGCGGGTGAGTGAGGCGCGGGCATAGGCATGTCGTCGTCGCCTGAAATCCCTCTAGAGTCCAAGCAACTGAAATCTAGGAGGTGTGATATAATAAATAAGGTATTCTATAGCTAGCTTTAGAGTAGTAGTTTATATATACTAGATAGATAAGCGCGCTTCGCTGCACTTGTTTTAGCCTTGCATGTGTTTTTGTTGTTGTTTTGGTTTGTTTTAGCCTTGCATGTGTTTTCGTTGTTGTTTTGGTTGAAAAAATAGGCTAGTAAAGCTTAGCAACTTTCTCCGGTCCATTTCTACTGCAAAGTCTTTAGACATAGTATGCACGCTACCGGTCAACTCTCGGAGGATAACTATTAGGGCATCTCTAGCATGTGATGAAAGAAGGTGAGAGAGAGAGAGAGAGTAAATAGGTGCAATGCATTGGACCAAGGATGCTAACTTACCATTTGTAAAAACTTATAGCTTATTTGAGCACCCAGTATGTGGAATAAATAATAATAAAAGGCAGAAGATCACTTCACTAGTAGATGTCATGCATGGTACTCCCTCCATCCCAAAAAAAGAGAGTTGTCTAGGGTTTTGTGCAGGTCAAACTTCCTTACTCCTTTCGTCCCATATTAGTTGACATTTTATAATCTCTCTCCGAAACCAACACTGAAGCCAAAAGACCATAATGCCCCTCAAAGAGTAGAGATAGAGTAGAGATCGAGATGTATCGAGAAAAGAGAAAAGATGTATCGGGAACTAAGAAGGTCACAAGTATTTTGGAAAAAATTGAATGCTATAAGGTCATCTATTTTAGGACATATGGAGTAAGCTTTTTGTAGAAAAGTATTAGCAATATTTGTATCTCCAAATAAGCTTATTATAATAATATATTCAACTATTAATCTAATGATATTTATTATGCACAATAAATATTAATAGTATTGTGTATGTATTTGATTAAAGTTAAAAATATTTTATTTTTTGGAAAGTGAGAATGATATTCTTTATGGGATGGAAAGAGTAGCTAAAATGAAATAATATTTTATTATTTTCCTTGGGTCTCTTTGTTAGAAATTTTAGTTAGCTAAAATGTTGTAGCAGTTTGAGCTAAAGAAGTAACTCATATGGATAGTTTTGCAACTATGTAAATATTTATTTATTATATACCCTAAAGACAAAGTAACTCATAGCATCTCCAAGAGCCTTGAGTAATAACCGTTTTCTATATCTCTGCACTCTCTAACAATTTTTCTATATCTTGTGTGTAGTATAGAGAGCCATCTTCGCTCTTCATCTTTGGCTAGCAACAAATTAGGATTAGAAGATGTCTATATTTAGATATCCAATTGAAGAGACTGTTAGAGGTATTTTTTCACTGAAATCTTTATTACTGTAAATTAGGAAAGATATAAAGAGTCTCTTGGAGATGCTTTTATAGGGATAGTTTTGCATCTATGAAAATACAGTATTTATTTGGCTTAAGTATTTATTTGGCTTATGCTGATTCTTATCATGATTTATCGTGAGAGGAAAAGAAAAGTAGAGAACAGGCCACTAAACCGAGAGCAGCTAGGGTCTGTGATTGGCTGCCAGCAGCAAGAGAGGGACGCGTGACCAATAAAGAGGCCGTCATGCAGCAGAGACCACGCTGGTCGCTCGGAGGCCACGGATTCTCCCGCAGTTATAGATTTTGATATTAATATATGTATGTATATGTGTATAATACTTAGTATATAGATAGATAGGAGGAGTACAATACAATGGCAACATCTCACACGCTGCCTTTCTTTAAGGACGTCTGCCCCCTATCTCGCGCGCGCGTAGACCTCACCTCAGTACACAGTCCATGGCTGAAGCAGCAGCCATGCGAGCTGTGCTTGAGGCGCCCGGCGTTAAGGGCCTGGAGGTGCTCCGCCTCCCGTGCGACGACGATACTAACGAGAAGGACGCCGTCACTGATCTTATCCGCCGCATTGTTGTCACGGCAGATCCTCCAGTGACGAGCGCGTTCAGCGTGCTAAACCTCGGCAAGGTGGTCGAGCTGTTCGCGGCGTGGCGGCGTGGGCTCAAGGGTGTGCCGCCGTACTACGCCGTCAAGTGCAACACCAACCCGGCGCTGCTCGGAGCCCTGGCCGCTCTCGGCGCGGGCTTCGACTGCGCCAGCCCTGCCGAGATGGACGCCGTGCTCGCGCTAGGCGTCACCGCTGACCGCATCATCTACGCGCCCATGCAAGCCCGGGCAGAGCACGCCGCGAGCGTCGGCGTTAACCTCACCACCTTCGACTCGGTGGAGCAAGCAGCAGGTGCAAACTTCTGCTCTGGCTCAAGGTCCCCGACGTCGGACGCCCTCGGGCGTGGCGCGTTCCTGTGCAGAGCGTCGGGGGCGTCGCGTTCCACGTCGGGAGCGCCGTGTCCCGCGTGGGCGTCTACGACGCTGCCGTGGAGGCGGCCCGCGCGGTGTTCGACGCCGCCGCCGCGCGCGGCACGCCACCCATGCGCATCCTGGACATCGGCGGGGGCTTCAAGGCCGGCACCGCCTCCACGTTCCAGGACGCGTGCGACGTGATAAACTCCGCGCTGACGCACCACTTTGGGGACGTCCCCGGCCTCCAGGTGATTGGCGAGCCAGGGCGCTATTTCGCCGAGACGCCGTTCACGCTCGCCGCGCGCGTCTTCGGGAAGCGCACGCGCGGCGAGGTGCGCGAGTACTGGATCGACGACGGCTTCTTCGGCACGCTGTGCTGCGTCCACGTCGAGAACTACGTGCCACGCCCTGTGCCAGTGTCGAGTCGCGCTGCCGCCGGCGACGGCGACGGCGACGGAGGCGGTGAGAGTGATGAGACACACCCGTCGACGGTGTTCGGTCCCACGTGCGACTCGTTGGACGTGGTGGTGAAGGGTTACCATCTGCCGGAGCTACGCATCGGGGACTGGCTCGTGTTCCACGAGGTCGGCGCCTACACCACCGTGCTGAGCTGCAACTTCAATGGCTTTTCCGCGTCCGACATGAAGACCTACCTCGTCTACTCCTCTGTCTAGATTTCGATCTAGAACCCTCCTCGTTTATTGTGTTGTTTTTTCATCTCGCGCCTGCATTGCATACTGACACGTTGGAAATAAGCGTGAATCGACCGGGGTCCATCCCTCTCAACCCCCTCATCCCCGGTTTCAATAAGGGCTTATTCGGTTGAATAGGAATAGGGCTCTGGAATAATCTCTAACCGAAATAATTCAATAATTTGTACTAATCTTGAGGAGTTAAATTGTTCATGTGCATTCTGAGAAAACCGAACAGACCCTAATTGGAAAAAAAATTACTTACATGTCATGGAATAAACCTAAATCCCTTATTTGCCACCTAAAAACATGATTCTCATATATGTCATTGGTGTTAAATTGTAATCCCTTCCATACATAGGCAATTGCTTGAGTATGCATATCAATATCCAGATTTCAGTGCTGCTCTAACTAGTCATCCCAAAACACAGAGATGACAACAGTGAGCAAATGAGTGGCTCGGTGAGGAAGGATGGGGTAGAGATGGATCTCTGATCGAGGAATGGGTGGTGTCGGTTGCTTAGGCCATGTTTGCTTGGTTTATAAGCCGTACTTTTTCAGTGAACTAATAATATTTTTATCTCACAATAAATCAGCTAACGATACTTTTCAATCATGGCTTATCAACCAAACGAACAGGACATAAAGTATGTGGGCGATGTGCGACACATGGTTGTTGACCGCTACTGCTCGGTGCGCTGGCTGGTTGACCACGTGCTACTACGTGCTCAGCCTCAGCTGCGCTCATGCTACTACGTACTCGGGCTAAGAGTGTGGCAACGGTTGTGGAGGGTAAAGCGTGCTGGATACTCCTCACATGTACTTAGATCAGGCACCCCATAATAAGATCAGGTATTCAACCCAGCCTTGCAGTATAAACACGAACTAGTACCGTCCAGTTGCAATGCAGAGCAAGAGAGAACAGAGATCTGACGATTTGTCAACTGGATTTGATTACCTGGACGCTAAAAAGCGGCAGTGAATAAATAGTGTGCCATTTTCCTATTCAGTTCACCTTCATTTGGCAGATGGATCTAGATCTCACTGGACTCAGACGCTAGCAAAATTTGCGGCAGTGAACAATTATTGCAATCATGACCTAACACGTGTACTTTACAATCAAACTGTGTAATTAGTTATTTTTTATCTATATTTAATTCACCTTTGGCAGGCTCACTGGCAGATGGAAACTAACAGGCAGCAGAAGATCAGGTTCGGCTACAACATCAGCTTACATGTGCGATCAAGTTAGAGATGTTTGGTTTTTCAACGAACTCTCAATAGCACTGGACAGATCAAATTCATTGAATGCATATACAGAAACTAACAGGCAGCAGAAGATCAGGCATCGGAATACAACATCAGCCTACAAATTTTAGTCACCATCCCAGCACCCTTAGCTGTTGACCAACACCTTCAGCGACAAAAAAAAAGCAGTGTCACTTGCTGCTGAACCCAGCCTTGCAGTATAAACACGAACAAGTACACCGCTAAATATCTAATCCAGAAAAACTACAGCTGAAACTACAAGTTTCTCTGTTCAGATTCAGATCAGGTGACATCCATTCATTGTAAGCAGAGTACACAATGATCGGCTTGCTACAAAAGCACAAAAAATTACTCATGCTGCTTCTGTACAGGAAAATTCTAGCTACTGGCAATTACAGGATCTGTCGACCTGTCGGTACCTGTCTACCATCCTCCACCGCCCTTCAGTCTCTCTCAGGTGCATCTCCTGCATCTTTCCTCGCGCTCAGGTTTCCAGCATATGTCCAGACCTTCTCTAGATCACCAGAAAAGAGCTTTTCGACCTTGATTTCTTGTGTTCCTAGATTGTTTTTGTTTAATAGCGGCTGTACTCTTCCAGGGCTGCCTGTAACTGGGGTGGAGGAGCAGAAAGTGGGTGTTGCAAACGGAGAGGCATATGGCGTATTCTGAATAGAGAATGGGCTTGGAGAGATCCTCTTCTGAACTGGCACACCTGTGCCACGATTGAAGATCGAGACAGACTCGGCAGCAGCAGATTTCTTTATAGCATCATCAACATAAATCACATCATCAATTCTTGCAATTATGTTGAATGCCAAGCTCTCCAGAACCCTTGAGTAACTTTCAAGTATGGACTGCCCAACATCCTGGAAAAATATGCAAGAAACAAAGTGAATATTATGATTTGTGTAATTGAAAGAAAGACTTGATCAATTTTGATTTGGCCAGAATAAGTAGATGGTTACTTGTCTTTGCATGAGCTTTACCTTGTTATACTGGATCTTGTTCATGTCAAGGGAAGTTTGTGGCAGACCAGGATATCTCAATCTTAAGCTCTGCAATAGACCATCAGCTCTTTCAGACAAAGTGTTGCTCTTTTCCTTATCTCCAACAAGACCCTTCACTTTTCCACCCCAAGATTTCTTTGATTTGGCTTGAGGTGTTGATTTTTTCTGGCCTTTCAGTTTCCAAACATGGATGGCAGCTTCTATTCTGTTTGCCACTTCAAGTGTGTGGTGCTCAGATGATAGATCCAAGCAATCTAGGAGACATTCTGGTGAGAACTGCTCAGCTGTTATGTATCGGTAAATTATCTCACCCAAGCAAGATTTACCACTCTGCAGAAAAGATATGATATTAGACTAGGTGAATCACTATGGAAATATCCACATGCACTCGTGTATTACTGGAGACAAGCTATGCTGGACCAAAGAAAACTATGCACCATTCGCAGACAAAAACAGAGTGGGGATGTCAACAGTGGTTTGAAGAACTGAGAAGAGCAATCACATGCTTGATCTATAGATTTAATACACACATTCATATTAAATTACACGGATGCATTATAAAGAGGATTATACCTTCAAAAGAACACGAGTTGCTAAAAGAACTGACATGAGCAGTCACATGCTTGAGCGAGAAAATGCAGAATTGACATATGACAGGTACGCGGTACACCCCAGTATCGAAAAAGAGGGAAAGAAATGCCTTGATACATGCAGTGACAATACTACAAATGCTAAACTCATTCATAACTGAGTTCTGCATCTAGTAAGGCCAGTATTTGTTCACCTAATTATCTGCAGTTCTACATGACCTTAACTTTAATCACTGCCAGACTCAACTTTTATTTAGGGAAAGCTAATTAAACATCTTTATGAAATTGCAATATGCACTAAACCAAGTTGGTCTAGAAAATTTAAGAGAAGTCCTAGCATATGAGAGTCTATCTAAGGACACAAGAATTAGCTTTTTCCATACCAAGAACAAAGTGATTAGACTAGAAACATTCAGGCCTTCAAAAAGAAGCATTTATAATCCTGCACAACATGACATATTTACTCTTAATGAAATACAAGAGGGAATATAGTTATAGCTTTTTAAGCTTTTCCCTATCAGGCTATCATATTCCAGTCATCAATTAATTCCTCATGACACTAATAACTGGAAATTATGCAATTGGTACCACGGGCTTGCATTGGAAATAAAATGGGTTAGAACCTATAATTGATGACAGCTAGAGTGACAACACTTGCTCATGCAAAAAAACAAAGCATTGCCATAACTGATGCCCAACACCTTCACTCGACAAACTGTACTAAAATACATTAACTGAGCTCTCCATTTACACGTATATGATAGGAAGTGAGTGGTCCCTTTCACAAGGATTTTATGCAATTGGTCCTATTTTTACCAGGGATTGAAGTACAATATAGCAAGCACACCACATGGATAGCAAGAGATATAGCTGGTACCAGTGAATTATTTTACCTTGGGCAGTGTCTCCAGGTACACTTCGGGGATTTCCATCTCGGCCAGCACATCGCTGTTAATCGCCATGGCCGCCTTCAGTATCTGGTTTGCACAATCCCTGCTCTGCTGCAGCTTCCTCCTCGCATCCTCAGACAGCCCCTTGGGCGGCACTCGTGGGCAGGGCAACCACCACTTCTCCTCCTGCCGCACCGACGGCCGGCCACAAGACGAGGAGGAGGACGACGGGAACGGGCCCCCGCTGTCCTCGACCATAACCCCCCTGTCCACGTACCAGAACTCGGTCCCCTTGAACCCGTCAATCATGGCGAGGAGCATGGCGTCGAGCTTCTTGAGCGCGGGGAGATTCATGTAGAGGTCGCTGCGCGGGCGCGGGATCATGACCTCGAACTGGCCGCCGCCTTCGGGGAGCTCCTGGATGGAGGGGGTGAGCTCGACGATGGAGTCCGCGACGGAGAGCAGCCACTCCATCTCCCGCGTCCACATAGCCTTCCTCGCCGTCGCGAGCGGCTCCAGCCTCCAGAGCTCGCCGAACACGGTGGCTGGACGACAGGTATCGGGAAAGGAAAACCATCAGGAATCCGGGCAATGCGGGTGGAGGAGTAGCACGGCGGCGGCGGCAGGCCGTGGGCGCGAGCGTACCGGAGAGGTTGGTGATGGCGTTGGAGATGGCGAGCGCGGTGCAGACGCCCTTGCCGCTGCCGGACATGTCCTCGCCGAGCAGGAGCTTCGCGAAGCGCTCCTTCATCATGTCGATCTCTGGCGCCACAGAACCGGAAGGCAAGAACAAGAACTTGCTGTGAGAGGAAAGAACAAGAGGGGATTTTGGAGCGAGATCTAAGCAAAAGCGGAGAGGGGGCCGCTTACTGGAGAGGTCGGAGGCCGGCTTGGAGAGGTGGAAGGCGGTGGCCGATGCCGGGGTGGGAAGCGAGGAGGAGGAGGCGAAGCGGCGGGTGGTGGGCGCGGAGCAGTCGCTGGAGGTCTCGGACTCGCTGACGTCGGCGCTGGGGCTGTAGCTCCCGCTGCAGCGGTCCGAGGCGGCCTCGTCCTCCGACACGCTCGACATTGCTGCGGCGGCGGCGAAGGCGAACGCCGGCGGCGGGGTGGCTAAGCTAACTAGGCGCTGTGGCGGTGGAGACGGAATCGCATCTGGGAGTGGGAGGAGGGAGGGGAAAGCGATGGGAGCACAGGGCAGAGGTGCAGGAGGGCGAGCGAGCTCACTG